TTGTCTAGCCGTTGAGCTAGCTCATTGCTGAAATGGAGACGGTGAGCAGGCAAAGACAACAAAGCAACATTCAGCTTACCTGGGGGTCGCTTACCTTGTGGTCTCCTGCGAGGCTGTAGGCGAATACGCATCTTCGAGATGACGAGGCGATGGTCGGTCCACCCGTCAGCACCCGCGATCGCCTTCGTCACCAGCACGTCCCGCTGATCTCGCCTCCGGACGAGGACATAGTCCAGCAGGTGCCACTGACGCGACCGAGGATGCCTCCAGGTGGCCTTCTCTCGCTCCGGCAGACAGAAGAACGTGTTCGTCAGGATGAGGCGGTGTTCTGCGCAGGTGCGGAGGAGAAGCAGGCCGTTGTCGTTGGAGCCGCGGAGACCGTGAGGACCCAGCACTCCCCTGCAGGCAGTATGGTCTGTGCCGACGCGGGCGTTGAAGTCACCAAGGACAATCAACTTGTCCGCCTTCGACACAGTCGCCAAGAGGGCGTGCAGGTCCTCGTAGAATTTGTCTCTGACGGCGTCGGAACTGGTCATCGGCGGAGCGTAGGCGCTGATGATGGTGGCGAACTTGCCTCCTCGCCGGAGGGGCAGGCGGAGGCTCATCAGGCGGTCGTTGATTCCCTGCGGCAGACAGAGCAGTCGTCCCACGATGTCGGTCCGGATGGCGAAGGCGACGCCCGCGTCTCGTCGCTCTGCCCTGGGTCGACCACTCCAGAAGAAGGTGTAGCCGGCACCCACCTCCTCCAGTTGGCCTTGTTCGGAGAATCGGGTCTCGCTGAGGGCGGCGATGTCCACCTTGTAGCGCGCCAGTTCTCGTGCCACTAGCGCCGTCCTCCGTTCCGGTCGGTTGCTCCTCGGATTGTCTAAAAGGGAACGAACATTCCAGGCTGCCAGAGTGAGCGGGCTCACCCTGCCAGTCTGGCGACTGCGGCGGCGAAAAGTAGGAGTAGGAGAAGAAGAAGAATAGGCTGGAAGAGGAAGAGAGCGGTTGTTGTTGTTGTTTCGGTTTTGGCTGTTTCGACCTTGTGTTTTTTGTCTGCGGCCACGGCCAGCCTACAGACAGCGTGGTTCCCAGCGATCTTTAGGGCACCTTTTCTAGCCCCCTCCCCCTCGCGGGGGCAGGCAACGCATCCCTGAACAGGGCTGCCCGGTTATCCCAGACGGCTGCCGGACTCCACTATGGGCCACGACTTTTTGTTAGTGAGAGAACGACCCGAATTAGCCTGGGACCTTGGTGGTGAGGTGATGATGTGATGGAGTGAAGTAGGAGAGAGCATACACACTAACTAACGCTAGGGGACTTAGAACTAGAGTGGACAAGCGGACACAGTCATCAGTCAGAGACAAAGTGAGGGCACCACACAAAGTCAAGCACCGTAACCCCTAGCTATTAGTAGAGAGTGGCATAGACTGACGGACAGGCAATTGCAGCAGGCATCGTGGGTGTCGTTTAGCTATTGACAGACAGACTAGCATATAAAGGGCAGGCAGCAAGCGCAGCGTACGACACGGAACATCAACAAACAAAGGAAGAAACAAAGCAAGCGCACTTACCTGAGGGGAAACTTACCTGGTGGCCGCCTACGATGGTCCAGGCAGAGCCTCGTCTCGACGATGTCGACGCGAAGATCCATCCGGCCAGCGCAGACCACAGTACCGCGCGTGCAGGTGCACGCACGGATACCCTCACCTGGTTTAGCCCGCCGGTCGAGACGGTTGCCCGGGGTGTGGCCGCTGAGCAGAGCCCAGCTACGTGGAGCCACAGGTGAGAGTTGGGTGCCAGCAAATGGACGCTAGGCGAAGTCTCACCTGAAAGCAGGTGAGCGACCACTACGACCATCACGTGGACCCACCGCTGACACCCCTACACCCCACACACACACACACACACACACACACACACACACACACACGACAGTTCGTCCGTCGGTTTCGACGATGACCACCGTGTGCCCCACATCTGCAGCAGCGGTGGGAGCAGGGACGGTGACTTGCGCAGGGGTTTATAGTGCCG